CACACACACACACACACACGCACACACACATATGTATATATATATATATATAGATATATATACATATATATATATATACATACATACATACATACATATATATATATATATATATAATCACCAACGTAGATTTCCATACATATCTCGACATCTGCACAGCTCACCTTTACTGTCAGTCAGCATAGCCCTCAGCCGCTGTACCGCCTTCTGCCGATGCTCCCGCCATCGCAGCAAGTACTCGCTGTCCACCACGCGTTCACTTTCGTGTGTGTGCGTATATGTTTCAGCCTCAGGGGGATACGCACCTCTATTACTTTCGTGTATGTGTGTATTTGAACCAGTCTCAGTTATGTACGTACATCTGTCACTTTTGTTTGTGTGCATACATGCAGTATAAACTGTAGTTGCATACGTGCCTCGATCACTTTCGTGTGCATACATATTTGTACCAGCCTCCTTCGCCCTCATGCCAGCAGTATTGCGTCGGTTTGCGTGCTTGTTTGCACCAGCCTCGGTTGCATACGTGCCTTCGACCAAACTTTCGTGTGTGTGTTCATCTGTACTATGCTTGCCTTGATCCTTTCTCTTTGGGGGTAAACTGATACCGGTTTGAATCGCAAACATGTCTTCTACTACACGTTTGCCGGTTTCGCTTGTCATGGCACCTGTGTCTGCGATATATGTATCATCCTTCCTAGCTTCCCTATCTTTAGTCGCATAGCCGTCAAACAGGTCGTCGTAACAGAGCATGTCGATGGTGTATGTGTCTGTATATACAAGTGCGAAGTAGCGATGCTGAGTTTAGATTTGTGTTGACAGGTTTGTACTGTACAAATGTTTTGATGACCTGATTGAACAAATCGTACTGGGATGGGTACAAACAGGAGTGAAGTCGGTTCTAAGTGCTTACAGTCCTTTCACATATCGTCTGGTGCATATACAAACACGCACACGATAGCTTCGCATCATATACTTGCCAGATGCAACGCAGCACCACACTCGGAATAAGCGTATATTGATACAGCATTACACTCGGGACAGGCGTAAGTTTAAACGACAGCTAAAATAACAGCACGTAGACGGACGGAAACATACCATCACATGTGCCGTTGCCAAATTGTATGCGGCGGTCTAACTATACATGCACAGAATGGAATACATGAATGTGTGTATCGATGTGGGCATGTGATAAGGCGTGGTCGCAGGTACATTACACTATAATACAACACTCTGGAGGTATATGTGCATGTGCGCCACTAAACACAATATATACATACCTTCCTGTTCTTGCGCACATTTCTGCAGCATCCTACACAAAGTGGACTTGCCGCTACCTGGAATGCCGATCACTGGGACTACAACTGTCCTCGTCTCCTTCATTCTGTCTAATCGACACCCAACGCTGGTATTCCCTGTACCACCTAATAGTAGGACCTACTCTGGGACTGTACATGGTGCGGAAAAAGTTAAAGCAAAGCTACAAGTAGCTAGGTATACATCTCACACAAGCCTGATGATTTATAAAACAGTAATGTATACATTAATCTTTGTACACTCATCCATGTGGTGTCTAAAATAGCACAATTTGTGTCAAGTGCCTAAGTACAGTAGTTACATACTATCATCTAAGGATTCATGTTGCCAAGTGCGTAAGTGCAGCAGTTACATACTATCACCCGAGAATGCCTGTATGAAGAAATAGTAAATAAATGCATACCTCAGTCATAGACTAGTGTATGTAGCTTGTAATCTTTGCCATCAGTGCTATGTATTTATTAACCTCAGTTCGTTTCTCGTTGAAACGTTTAAAATCAATCGTTTTTACGCTATATAACCGTTTATGCTATGTACTATTCTTGGTGGACATATAAAGCTGGTGTGTGAGCAATGATCTGTTTTACGTTAAAAAGCGTTCAAAATCAATCGCTTTTGCGTTTTAAAGTTTTGAAGCTACTTTTTTATCGAATGGTACTTTCGACTTTCGTACCGTCCTACAATACCCAAGGCCTAAAGAACACGTCTACCGATATCACTGTATCAGTGTCATCATATTTATTCCAAGAAAAGAAGAAATAAAAGTTACACATGGCGGACATGACAATATAAATACAACTTGCGAATGGTTTGCGCATGTAGGAAACACCTATCTATTCATCCATCTGAGTGATTTTGTGGTATTGCATAGCGGTTATCGGATTGTATCTATCTTTAATAACTATAGCGCCGAACCGTGCATTGGGCGCTAGAATACATAAGCAGTATAGCAGTTACCCTGAACACTTGTCAACCACTACACACACACCATGCCCGTCAAGAAAGGCAAGCAGGCCAAGCAGGCCAAGCCCAAAGCCAAACAATCGCGTAAAGATCACTTATCCCTATCGCGTGCAGTAGTGGAGGAGTCCAACGATGCCGAACCACAGCAACCCGAGGACGATGTAGAGACAGTAGAGAAAGTTAAACCCGGACAGAAGCCCAAGCGAACACTAGACAACACCACCGCAGATGAAGATGAGATGCGATTAGAAGCACTTTTGTTCTCGGATATACATGCGACTGAATACGATGGACTGGCGGTGACGAGACAGGCCGCACAGGATGTGAGCGAGGATGAAGAGGATATTGACTTCGCAAATATGGACTTCATAATCGACCGTACCGGTTCAAAGGGCGCCAGCAATGAACCTGCCGCGGTTTTGAACGCAGCGGATGTTAGCGTGAAAGAGGGAGATAGTGATAAAGACAGTGGTGATGATGATGATAGTGTCAAGGATACCACAGACAGGGGTGTGAAGAGGTCAGTGTGGGAAGATGCCGACGACCACGCAATCGAGGTGGCCATGGCGAGCAAGTCACGAACACGTAAGCTGAGGAAAACGGAGGCCGAGGATGTCGTGGATGGGTCTGAGTATAGTGACCGACTGAGGGAACAGTTTAAGAACACGTACAGTCGCACACACCAGAAATGGGCCGAGCATGTGGAGGAAGACGTGGATGGGAGTGAGTTGATGGGGTGGTCAGGCAAACTGCTGGATGGCTCGAAGCAAGGTGTGTGTAGCGTGTAGACAGCCGACGTGCATGGTAGTACCAGTGTTGTGCATGGCTTTGAAAGTATGACAATACCTTTGTATGTTGTGATTGGGGGTAAATGTACTGTCCTGTGTATTTTATATTGCGGTTTCATGTGTATGTATGTGTACCGAATCAATCACATATATATTCATATTTCTTTGGATATGGTTGTGTATCTGCATCTATGTATATGGATATTTGTATAATTGTTTATATA